ACGACGACGACGACGACGTACGTACGTAACGTACGTAACGTACAAATATATATATAATATATATATATATATATATATATATATATTTTAAGGGAGAGAGAGAGAGCGCGAGCGCAAACATGTTAACAGGAAAAGTACCAGGATGTCAGCTTGAACGCGTAAACATGTGTGTCCAGCGTGGACCCTAAACGTATTCCTGTGTTTTAAAGTGTCGTTTTACGTTTGTCGCCAGTGATGTTCTTTCTTCACAGCCACCTCGGGGATTCTGAAGTCCTGGGCCTTTCTCTGAAGACTGTAATGTTCCTGACGTTTCTGAAATGTTGCAGAGCCACAGAGTTTAGGCTGGTGCTGCCAGGAAGAAAAGCAACCCAGAGTTTAAGTGTCCAGAAGTGGTTTGTGAACCTGCCTGTTTTCCTCTCAAACCGGTACAGCATGTCGCCAGCCACGTGCCGTCTCTGGCAAAAGAGACCTGTCTTCACCTGGTGCCACTGCTGTGGCTCCCTGTTTGCCCTGAGCCCCGCTGCCCAGGCCGTCTCCGCGGCCTGCCGTGCCCCCTCTGCTCCTGGAGCGCGGCTCCCGGGCTGTGTTCCATCCCTGGTTTTGTTCCCCGTGTGGCCTTGGCGCCCACACGTGTTTCTGTTGGTGAAGGCAGCCCTCCACGTTGAGCCCCGCCGCCCGCCTTCCTCCTCAGCCGGGTGGGGACCCCACGCCACCAGGCCGTTGGGGGCTGCTTTCCAGAGGGTGGGGTGGTGACCTGCTTCCCTGTGGGAGAACGTGGGTCCCCGTGGGCCGGGGTCCCGGGGGATGCGGCGTCCAGTGCCTTCTCCTGATTCCGTGTTCAGCTTCGATTTGAAGGACGCTAACTGGTGTGAAGAGCAGTTGAAGTCAATTTCTCAACTTTTTCTCGTCTCAGTCCAGCAGGGGAGAAGGAAACCTAACTTTTACTTAAAGGATAGGTTTGGCTTGAGCTCAGGGAGCTGACAGGGTGGGCTCATTGGCGGAGGTGTGTGCTTGGCCTGTGTTCTGAGTCGGGGCGGGGGCGGGGCGATGAGTTGGGTGAAGAGGACCCCTCGTGCCCAGCAGCCCCTGGCCGGTGTGGGATGACAGTTCAGATCCATTTGGAGCATTAAAATGCTTGTTCTGACTCAACAGGCCCGCCTGGGTGAAGCATGGGTAATCCAGGTGTAGGTGCTGGACCTGGAAGCCCTGAGATGCCCCCCAGTCCCCTCCTGTGAAGATCGGACTTGAGCAGCAGCCCAGCCCAGGGCGAGCCTTGGAAGACCCCTGGGCAGCACACAGGCCCCTCGCCAGGTGGCTGTCCGGTGCTCTGCAGGCCACAGGCCGTCCCCCGCAGCGGTGTAGGCCGGAGAGAAGATGGTATTTCATTCACCTGAGGCTCAGAGAGCCCAGGAAACATACCAGAAACTAAAGATGTTAGCGATGCTTTGCTTGAACCTGGGTTTTCTGGTCCCAAATCAGTGGGCAGGGTGAGAGGGAGGGCCCGGGTGCCCCAGGCTCTGCACGCAGAGGCTTTGAGGCCCCAGCGCCAGGGCCTCTGGGGAAGGGCCAGCACCACTGCAGCGTGCGTGGCCGTGAAGCTGGAGCCTCTGTTTGCCTGTTTCCCCCGCGCTCTCTCTGGGGGTGATTTTGGGCCACTGTGGGGTGGTGGTCAGTTCCTGTGACCAGACCAGGTGTCCGGGTCTCGTGGAGATGGGGACGGTGGACTCCCCCAGCCCCGAGGGCCCTCCTTGTCGGGTAAGGGGGCCGTGGCTCCGGGCAGTTCTCTCAGGCTGCCTCTTCTGTGGTTTTCTTCGAACGCCGGTCCGCCCAGCCCAGGTCCACCGTGAGGGAGGCCTGCCCTGCCTCCGTCATCCAGCCCCTTGTTGGTTCGCTTGACGAAGGCTCGTTCGTCCCAGCAGGTGCTGTGGGACTCAGGCAGGACACACAGACCCACCCCTGGTTCTCAGAAGACTGGCTTGGTGGGGGGTGGCAGCGAGGAAAACTGGCAGTTGCAGAGCAGGCTGCGAGCACCAGGCAGGTGCTCCTGTGCCGTGTGGGGAAGGGAGACACCTTTCCAGGTTGGGGGAGGGAGATCGTGTTCGGGAAGGCACCTCAGAGAAGGTGGTACTGAACTGGAGGCCTGAAGATGGGTGCTGAGCAATCAGCACTATGGGCAGAGGGGAGTCCAGGCAGAGGCCTGCACGATCGCTTTGTGTGACAGGAACCGGTGCTGGGGGGCAGTGATGGGAGCTACAGACACAGGCAGAGGCCCAGGCGTCCACTGTCCACTTGGTGCTGCTGTCCAGTGACTGGTGACTCCTCACACCTGCCTTGAAGCTGACCAGCTCAGAGGTCTGGTCCCGAGCATGCAGCCTTGTGAGCAGCCGGTCTGCGGACCGGAGGGGGCTCCTGAATGTGCTGGGCGCACTGGCACAGTGGCAGGTGTGCAGGGGGGAGTGGGGGTCCATGAGGGGCTGGTCAGGAGGCCATGACCACGGCCGTCCAGGTGACAAACGGGGGCCTGGAAGGGGACTGTGGTGTGGAGGCGAAGGGGCTGAGGAGGCTGGGGGAGGAGGGGTGCTCCTGGTGCGGCTCTCCCGAGTCTGGTCTCCCCCGCCGTGGCAGGGTGTGGGCTCTGCCCTGTCCAGGGGGGACTGAAGGGTGCTGCCGGCCCAAGGCCCCCACAGGTGCACCCCTGGTGGGACCCTGCTTTGCACATAAGGTGCTCAGGTCTGTCCTCACACCCATGACCGACTTCCAGGAAGCAGACTTGTGACACTTAATGTTCAATTCAAATGTCCAGTTTCTTACTTTATTGGGAAAGATAAAATATTTGCTTTGTGAAGACTAACTTTATCCCCTAACCAGGCTGTCTGTCTCTCATTATCAAGATTTTTGGAAACCAGCAGATGTACACCGTGACGTACACAATGTTGTATGTCAGTTATGTCTCAATAAAGCTGAAGAAAAAAGGGAAAGCATGTTTAGTCCTGAGACGCTGCCCTGTGCTACGGACGTGGGGCTGACACCTGGGGTGCGGTGTCCTGACAGGCGTGTCCCGAGAGGTGTGGGCCACGTGCCACCTGGCACACGTCTGCAGCCTCAGTCCCTCCTGAAGTCCCTGTGCTGGTCCTCACAGGCAGCCTCCCCCTGCCCGGCAGCTTCTGACTCAACTCCGTTTCTCAGAGCACCTTTGTTAACCTTTGGCTTCTCTGGGTCTGGTTCCCGCTGGTGGCTTTTTTGTGTAAAAGGTGCTGGTTCCTTCCAGCTTCTGTCTCAGCAGGAAACCCCACACCTGACTTCTGGGGCCGCTTCCTGCTGCTGGTGCACGGAGACAGCCTGCTAGTTGGTGTGCCTGTGTGCGTGTGTGTGTGCGCACGCGCACACACACATGCACAGCTGTCTTTTGTTGCTTGTTCATTTTATTTTGGAGAAATCCTTAGCCTTTGAGGAATCCTGTGAGCCCAGGTTCCTTAGACGGCGTGGCCAGGGAGCCCAGGAAAGGCAGAGCTGGTCACCACGGGCTGCCCTGCAGCTAGCACCTAGTCCTGGAAACGGGGAACACACACAGAGACTCAGCATCCTGTGATCCCACACTGGATGACCCCTCCCATCCTGACTCTGAGTTATTAATAATTTTATCAAGAATGTGCTTTCAACACGCTTGTATTTACAGACGTACTTAACAAGAAATCACCAAGACTTCAGAGGGAAGTTCCTCTTCCCTTTCCTTTTTATGGCCCAGAGACAAGGAGAAACGGAGAAAAAAAAATGCCTTTGACTTGTGCTGGAGGCTTGAGAACGTCCACTGTCCCTTCTGAGGGTCTGCTGGGGCCTCCTTAGGCCCCGGGCCCACCAGCTGTCAGATGCTTGACTGCGGGGACACCGGCCGCATTTCACCCGGACCCTTGGCTTTCTTGCTTTCCTCCCAGTGAGATTTTGAGAACTGTGGCTGCAACGGCGGGACGTGCTTATTTCAGCCAGTGTCAGAGTCAGTGTTCTGGTTGCAGCGTGGCCTCAGCCACGTCGGGCAGCAGTGGGTTAGAGGCTGCAGTGCTGGTCGGGGCCGTCCGCCGGGGGAAGAGTCGCAGTCCAGGCTGAACACCTGCAAGCCTGGGCTGCGTCGGCTCTGGACACATTGTGGGTCAGAAGAGTTAGCAGTAGGCAGTTCACTTTCCTGGAGCCTTGGGTTCGGCTGTGAGTGATCTAAAGGGCTCTCTTGTAACTGGAAGCCCAGGGCCGCCCGTGTTCTGATCCAGGTGGTCTGGCTGCATGTGTGGGGGCAGGTTTGGTAGGGGAGATGGGATGGGATTGGACCAAGGCCTGTCTGGGAAGGCTGTGGGGGTAGAGGGGACTGATTCTGGGGGTGAACAATTCCTTCTAGTTTGGGACAGTTTTTGGAAACAGTGCTGATCACGCCAAGGGCATTTCCCAGCTCGACCCAGGGAGGCTCACAGCTCACGGGGGCTCAGCGCCCAGCCTCTGGGACGCACACGCATGACAAGTGGCACGTGTGATGGAACACTGATGTGTGTGGGCCCCCCCCAGAGTCCGCTCACCTCAGACGTGGCCAGACCGGCACAAACAGGAGCCGTGCTCTCTGGTGAGCGGGCCTGCCTCTCAGTCGGCTCTGGGTTTCCCCAAGGCACCAATGGGGAGACTCTTGGAAAATAAAAATCAAAAGGCCTCCGTGTGTGCACCAGAGAAATGTCATCTTCTGCTTTGCAAAGGGTGTGCCCTTCACAGCGAGAGGCCACGGGGTGCAGAGCTTCCTCAGAAGGGAGTCTGCAGAGCCTTGCCATGTACTGGGCCAGATGGTCAGTCCTCCTCGGTCTGTGTGAAGCCACGCTGATGTGGTGGTAGGAGGTGTGAGGCAGGACCAGTGCTCCCTGTCCGCAGAGGCCCTTGTGAACCTCCAGAGGCCAGGTGCATCTCGGGGCTTGCAGCAGTGGCTGCCTCTCTCCTGCCTCGATACTCACAGTCGCGCAGCACAGGGGCCTGTGCTCTGCCCTGCCGCGCCCTTCCCGAATCTCCCGCCCGCCGGGAGCTCAGCGGTGCCGGTCCTGATGCGCAGGTCAGGGCAGAGGTGACCAGGCAGCCTGGCTGCGGTCCGCTTTGATCCCAGTTCTCTGGAATACCTTGGGGAAGTCCCCAAGAAGGCAGCCCACTCATGTGGGGAACTTCTCTGGACCGGCGTGGAAGAAACCCCCTAGAGGGGTGAGCAGAGCTGGACGGTGCCCCCCGGGAGCTCGGTGCTGCGGCCGCAGCCCACCTCACGGCTGCCCGGGTGTCGCCGTGTGGCCTAGGAAGGCCCTTCTGCCCCCGGCTAGGTGACAAGACGGTCAGCCTGAGGAAGGTCAGCTGTCACTGAGCGCTCAGAGTGTGACATTTCCTTGAAACCACATCCTTTCGACAACTCATGGGATAAGTTTTACTGTTATCCCCAGTTTCCAGACAAAGAAACCAAATTCTTGAGAACTTGAGTGTTGCCTGGTCTCAGGCCAGAAAGTGGCCGATGAGGCCTGGAGTCCAGGCAGCCTGGCCCAGCCGCACCAGGCCACCGCTCCCTTCAAAATGCCAGCACGCCTGGAGGGGCCGTGCTGGGGCTCTCTCCTGAAGGTCAGGGGCCTCGTGGGGAGGCCAGGGAGGGACACAGGCTGGCACGAGGAAAAGCTGTTTCTTCTTTCCGCCGGAGCCCCGAGCGTGGCCCCTGTGCCTGCCTTCTGCCTCCAGTGGCGGGCCTGACTTAGCCTGGAGAGGTGGACAGGGTCCCAGGGCCCGGGAGGCCTCTGCAGGAACACAGATTGGCCCTGCCCGGGGGGCTTGGAACCCGCACCCTAAGCAGTGGGGCTCTGCCCTTGATGCCCCGTGGATGAATGCATTCAGGAGATCCAGTGGGGTTTTTGCAAGAAGCTCAGGGATTTGCTGTTGTTCAGCTCAGATCACTCAGTGGAGACCCTCGTCGAAGACAGAGGTGAGGGAGGCAACGTGGACATTGGAGCAGAGGCGGTGACCTCCTTCCGACCCCTGGGGCTGACGGCAGGTCGGGGAGACAGGGTTACAGAGCCTGCTGAGGACTGGGGTGCAGGGCCCAGCAGGATTTGGGCAGGGCGGGAGGCCACGTCGGGGAGGAGTTCCCACTCTGTGTCCTGTCCTGTCCACCCAAACCGATGCAGAGCCGGCCAGCGGGGAGTTCTGCGCACTGTGGGCTGTGGGGGGCACAGCAGCGTGTCCCCCTCCTACAGGTAGCCCTGACCCTCAGCACTGGGGGGCGGACACGGAGTGATAGGATGGAGGAAGTGCCACCGCTTCCAAGAAGCAGCTGGGTATCGGCGCCAGTGCCGCAGCTGGTCTGAGAGGCAGCCTGGGTTCTCCTACACGCTCTGTGCCAAAAGCAGGCTATTAGGAGCTTGGCCTGTGACTCACCGCTTTCATCTTTAAAAAGCAACCTAGAAGCATCCATGCCTGCCCGTGTGCCCCTGATCTGTACTTTCCCGTGGCCTCTCCAGAGAGAAGACACCCTCCAAGGGACGGCTGTCGGGGTCAGGTGGCATCTGACTTCTGCTGTGAACCATGCCCGTCCGTGAAGGGGAGGAGAGCTCGCACCTGTCACCCCAGGGTCCCCAGGGCTGCCCAGAGGGAGCGGAGGAGTTAGCCTTGGCAGCCCTGTCTTCAAAGACTGTTGAATTGAGGGGAGAAGGCAGTCAATCTGGAGTGCTCTGTGCCCAGATGCTGCACATGGAAGCACCAGCACAGGCCAAGAAGACCACTGCCTGGTGGAGAGTGTGCTGGGGGTGGGGCCGAGGTGGGAGCTTGCGGCACGTTGGCGGTTGGGGGGGAGGCGGAGGTGCAGGCAGGATGGGTGCACTGGTTAGGAGGGAAAGGCAGCGGCAGCCAAGGCCGGGCCTGGTGATGACAGGTCATGCAGGGTGGGCTACAGGCAGGAGGCAGAGCTGGGGGGACAGGCACCCCAGCCCAGGTGGACAGCCCACAGGAGCCCCCAAAGACAACCTGCCAAGCGAGGTGCCTGACAACGTGTTTCGTTGTCACCTTGAAGAAGTGGCAGGTGGTGCCGGCTCGAGTTCTCAGAGGCAGAAACAGTCAAGGCGTGAAGATCGTTGGTGGTCACACCTGTGAGAGGGGGGAAGCAGGCTCACGGGGCAGAGGGGCTACCTGCTCCCAGCCACAGGGCCCTGGGGGGCGGCTGGGCGCCCCAGAAGTGCGGCCAGTGGTGCTCACCGCGCTCACGGGATCTGCAGGGTGACCAGGTGCTGAAGTGCGACCCTGCAGAGGTGCTTCTGCACAAACGTGCCACCTGCAGGACCAGCCCCCCAGTGCTGGGGCTTCCGGGCGCTGGGTCGCTGGGTGCCCCTCAAGACCTGACGTACCCCTTCCCCCGGGCGCAGCCCCAGGACTTGGGGGAGGCCTGCTCTCCTCACAGGGGTCCGCCGCTCCCTGTGCAGGAGATGCGGAGACACACTGGCCACAGAGCATTTATTCAAGATTATTTTCAGTGATACACAACTGAGAGTCAGTCTGCTTTTGACCACCACCAAGAGCCAGCCACCCTGAACCGTTTCAGTGCTGAAGTACACCGCACCCAAATTCTTCTGTAGGTCTAAGTTCTATATGAGTCTAAGGCTGTGCCTGCTGTAGTGTTTTGATAAATAACGCCAGCTTCATACGTGCAGGCTTTTATTACACAGCCTTTAGTCAGCAGCGTATCCTCCACGGACGTGAATGTGGAGAACTCCCGCTTAGCAGCAGCGCTGGCGGGAGGGGATCCGCCCTCTTTGTTCTGTCTTCGTCTTCCAAGTTCCGAAGGTTTGCCGCACCAGCCCCGTGGGGAAGTTTGGCCTCCAGCCTGTAGAGTAGATTCAGAACAGCCAAGGAGGGGACCGCCAGCGACTTCAGCCTGGCTCCTGCGTGACCACGTGCGGCCACTTGAACATTTACTTGCCTTGACAAGCTGTTGGCTGCACAGACGTTTGAGAGCCACCAGAATTGGTCCCAAAGAAGCACAGACATGCTATTTGTGGAATCTGAAGAGAAATGGGGTTTCTATGAACCTCTCCCAATCTTACCCTTCTGTTTAATAGTTTTCCTATTTGTGTGTCTGTTGCTTAACATGAGAGGAAATTTTCAAAATTGAAGCCAAATTGGTCTATGATCAATGATGAATGAAGGTAGACTGGCAAGTCTGACATAAAGAGAAGTTCAGTTTCCTAGTCGGCTGTGAAAAAGAAAGAAGTCACGCCATTTGCAGCACCATGGATAGACCTGGAGATCGTCACTCTACGTGAAGTCAGCCAGAAAGAGAAAGAAAAATGCCACATGATATCACTCATATGTGGAACCTAAAAAAGAAAACCGAAGACACTGATGAACCAACTTACAAGACAGAAACAAACTCTCAGAGAGAGCAGTCTTTCGGTGACCCGAGAGGGAAGAGCAGTGGGCAGGGGTAAGCGGGGAATCTGAGGTTTGCAGACACCAACTGCTGTCCATAAAGTAGGTAAACAGCAAACGGCTTCGTGCAGCACGGGGAGCCGCGTTCGGTGTCCCGCAGCGGCCTATGATGGAAAAGAAGATGAAAACGAGTTTACATGTGCGACTGAAACGTGATGCTGTGACCAGAAGTTGATGTAACCCTGTAAATGACTACACTTAAATAAAAAAAGAGAAGTTCCGTTTTGACAAAATCACTGACAATTGCCGAAATTATTCATTAGCGTGACAGACCAACAGATAGGTATGTTTCTTCAAATACACTTTATTGCAGTTAAAAAGTATTCGTCCATGACTTTTTCCTCTTTTTTTTACCACGATATTGTTTTATTTTTGTTCTTATTTATTTATTGGCATGCCAATGAATGTAAGGTGCAGAAAAGCTCCGTTCACAGCATTGTTTCTTTTCTGTGTCACTCCAGAGGACTCTGGTGTCACACGTGCCACGTGCGACCGGTGCTCACAGGTCCTTAGGAAATACTGCGGCCCTGAGGCCTGCTGGTCTCCCTGTGGCCCGTCCCTCAGTGCCTGCCGCCGTTCTGATTTGGTTTTTATCTCATTTACTGACTCCTGAGACTTGGCCAATTATTTCCATTTCATTTTCTCTATAGAGACACAAGTTAAAAGTCAACTGACTTTTCACACGTTCGTTTCATTTTTTTCTGGTCCTTTCTTCAAAGATAATTGAAGATTGCTGTGGTCACTTGTGAGGCCCCTGGATGGGAGAGCTGCTTTGTTTCCTGGCATCTTTGCCTGCTCCTGTGTGAGACCCTTCCGGTAAGAGGCTTGTGCAGGAAAACCTACATCTCACTGGAGGTAAACGGAGGCTGAGGCATCCCCTTTCTCCTTGTCACAGAATTCCCATCAGCAAGTCTTTAAACTGCCATCTCTCCTTTCAGAGACTCAGATTTATAAAAATTCTGTGAACATACCTCCTCCATTGCCAAACTCACAGTGCACCTCTGTTTGGTGATAGGACCTAATTTAGATGTTTGTGAGGTTTGTGAAGTGACTCCCAGTCATAAAGCACACCCTTCTTCTGTGCCAAAGATTGCCAAGTGTCTTTATTCCTTTTTAAAAATTACAGTTGATTTACTAAAATGTGTTGATTTCAAGTGTACTGCAAAGTGGCTCAGCTATATATATGTACTTCTTCAGATTGTTTTCCACTGTAGGTTATCACCAGACATTGAACACAGTTCCCTGTGCCGTCCAGTGGGCCCTTGTTACCTACCAAGCACATTTCTAACACAGGGACCAGCCGGCCCGGGACCCCAGCTTCTCAGGGCAGGCACGGCGCACAGCAGGTGCAGAGCCGTGTCTGTCATGAGCCCCTTCCTGCTGCACCTCTTGTCAGAGCCCCCAGGGCCTCGCTTTCCTTGGGCTGTGGCTGCACCCCCGGCCAGCACGCACACTGCAGGCCCCCCAGGCCCCGGCTCCCCCGCCCCAGCTGGCCCCCCAGAAGTCCGGGCTCCCCCCGAGTGTGTGTTGTGCGAGCCGCGTCCTGGCCGTCTCGTCACGCCTGGGCTCAGTGAGAGGATGGGCCGAGCCGCTCGGCGATGCGCACAGAAGCCCCCCTGCCCACTGAGTCCTTCACACCCTCTCACCCGACTTTCAGAAGTGTGCCAGGACCCTGTCTGCCCCCAGCCGGCCAGTCCCTTGGGGTTGTGGGGTCTGGGCGTGCTGTGGGCCAGGCGGGCGGGGCTCAGCCCGAGCGGCTGCCAGTCTTCCCTGTGCTGACGTCGCTTGTCTCTGAGCCTTTCTTTAAAAAGTAAATTAACAAAAGTCAAGTGTTTTGGGAATTGAACCAGCCTCTGAAACTCTCTTTTCAAAAGGCCTCACCACTAGCGTCCTAATCTTGTTTTATTTTGCTTCTTAAGCTTAAAAAAATGCTGACACCTTTCTTTCCTTTTTCTGTATTTAAGTCAATCGGTTGAAACCATTGGTGGCCCTGCTGTGCACACAGCTGTGGGCCAGGCCCCTGCCCATCGGAGCCCACGTGTCCGCTTCCAGGGTCTCTCCTGAACGTCACTTTTGCAGCCCCAGCCAGAGCACGTCCGCACTTCTGACGTCAGCGGCCTTCTCGTGGCTTGGATTTTGAACTATCGTCTCTCTCTTACAGTACCGTTGACCTTGTTTTTGTCACCTTTCACTTAAGCCCATGCGCTTACTATCTGATAGCCTTGTTCTGTTTCCTGGATTTCTTCATTCGTTGCCTTTCTCACAATTTACATTCATTTCTCAGAACAGTTTGATGCAGATTGTTTGCTGTGAAGCTAGCTCTGGACAAAGTTCGTGGTCCCGGTTGAAACGGTTGCTTAAAGCAGCTTTTCTTTCAGAGACACGGCTTCTGAGCTGGAATCCCACACCTCTCTGGAGAGACACCAGCAGGCATCAGGCACTGTGAGCAGGTGTGCGGACGGCGAGTCCCCCACGCAGACTCCCCGTCGGGTCTGCGGTGCCTGGGGTGTGCTGCGGGCACAGGGTCCGGGCGTACGCATGTCTGTTCTGTTTTACCACAGCTTTTCTTCAAGTTTCTTGGGGAAAAGGCTAGACTTCCTTGATTTTCTATCCAACAGTTTCTTCCTAGGATTATGGAAATTTGTTTCCCCCTAAATGAAAGAAGTCTACAATGGCATTCAGAAAATTACTTTTATTTGGTCAGTTCTCTAGTGCTTCATAAAGTGTTTTCCCACTTACAGAGCACCTTCACGTAGATGAATTCATCTTCCCGACAAGGCGATGGGGTCACCAGCACACAGGTTCAGCTGCTGACTAGACTCAGGCTGGAACTCAGGTCTGACTCTTAGCCCAGGGCCCTCTGCCCTACACCAAGTTGGAACCCACGGACCACAGGCTCTCCATGTGAGCAAAACAAAGATAACCTGCCAAAATAATCCAGAAACAGAGGTCGAAGCAACGTTGTCATGTGACACAGTCGGTTCCCAGTGGATTGACACCAATCAGTAAAGGGTTAGCAGAAGAGGCCAGAGTTACCTGGTCTACGAGGGAATGTTGTCCCCACAGGATACATTCACACAAGAAAGTGTCTCCTCCAGGACTTTGGATGTGAAATCGTCTTGGAGGCTTGTAGACGTGGTTGTGTCTGGGATCCACTGAAGGAGTCTCGATCCGCCAGTGGGTGGCCCCTGGGCTAGGAGGGGCAGCAGGTGGAGCTGCCGTCGGTCTGGGAGGCACCCTCTGGGAGAACCAAGACAAAGTGCAGAAAAGAAGTCAGCGGCAGGGCAGAGGCTGCTCGGGAGGGGCAGAGGCAGGCGGCCCAAGGACTGAGCGGATGGGGAGGAGGGAGTTTGGTCCGGCCGGGGTGGACGGTCCGGGAGCAGTGCCGGGAGCAGCAGGTCCAGGGACCTGCCAGGCAGAGTGGGGTGCTGCTTGTCTGCCGCGGGGCAGGTCCAGGGCTCAGTCACTCATTCTCACAACACAGCTCTGGACCAATGACAGCTGTCAGTCTAATGCCAAGTCTTCACTCGTAAGTAAACGTACTTTAAGACCATAGGGTCAATCTCCTCTTGCTCAGAATTGTTTTGTTCCAAAACTTAAAAAAAAAGTTTCAAGTCCATGTAAAAGAATTGATTTTTTCAAAAGAAGAATTTGAGTAGGGAAGGAAACAAAGGGGCAATTGAAAAGTAGCTACGACCCGCCCGGCAGAGGCGACGAGGATGTGTTTCGATAGACAGTGAGGAGGGGTGGCAGTAAGTGCGTCTCTGACGTTCTTGGCTGGGGTAAACCTGGCAGAGGTGCTGAATCAGTAGCCCTGCCCTCCCTCTCTGACTTCTGTGAGTGTAAACCTCAGAGGCCAGAGAGCAGGGAGCACGACGCTCTCCGGAGGTTTGGAAACTGGCCTGACTCGCGCCTCCTGGGTGGCGAGGATGCTTGCCCCAGCTGTGTGCTTCTCTCTGATCGCAGCACTTGACAACTGTCAATGTTTGGAAAGAAAATTTTTCAAAATTACTTCTGGAGCTTATATTTATGCATTTGTCAAAAGAGGGTAAGCCAAAAAGACCAGCTGTGGACCTTCTCCAGTGATAGCACCTTTTTCTTATTTCCATATTTTAGGAGATGCCTATTTTTAACATGTATTTGTTGCCTGGACTCTGCTCTGCAGACGTCGCTGTAAAACCACATGCTTTCACAGAACATGCGTGAGACACACACTGTCTTTCAGTGACTGTTGTCATTGCTGCTCAGCAAAAATCAGAGAGAATGTTCTACAGGCATTTTCTTGGGAACCAGTGGGGTTTAAGTGGGTGCGTCAGCCTCCTTCCTGCTCTCAGCTCTCACTTCGGAGGTTGGGCCTAATCAGAATTATGTATTATTTCAATTTTTTTTTTCCTGAAATGCTGGCAGGTGTCGTTGGGTGAACCCCCTTCCTGGCTGCATCCTCCGTCAGGGCCAGTGTGATTTCTCCAGTCCTTGGTTTACTAGGCCTCAAAATAGGGACAGAATTTCTCAGAATTTCAATGTTTTGTAATGTATCAGATGTAGAGTCATTGAAAGAGAAAAGTATCTTTGTGTTTGTGGCCTTGGGGGAAATTTGAATTATTGCAATTATCTCTTCTCTTCCATGTCCTCCCCGTTTCCAGCTTAAAGGAGGTCAGGAGGTGGGGGGGTGAACTTAACTAACACCACCTTCCTTTACTCAAAACTTTGCCAGAATGAGGTCTTGGGATAGCTTACCCAAAAGCCCAGCTTCTAACCCATTTCTCACTTTTCTTAGGTCCATTAGAGCTGAAGATTCTAGAAATTTATTTTACGTGCTGCCTCACGTAGGGGCTGTGTGTGCATTTGGCCAAATAGGTGTTTGTAACGAACGCCCAGGGAAAGCTCTCACCCCAGACAGATCGTGGGCCCCTGGAAACAACTAGGCATCCAGGTGAGGCCAAATGTTTCTATCTCCAGGAAGACGTGTGCTGTCCCTCTTGCAATTAAAGAGGCCCCTGGGCTTCTCTGAATAGTGGCAACAACTGTTATTTAATGCACACAAAAGGAGACAGGCTTTTTTTTCACTGTAGCAAAGATTTCAGTAGGCCACGGGGGATTCTGGGGAGTTTCAAACCTTTTTCCCCTTTGCATTTCATGTCACGCTGCGCATGTTTCGTCATGAGTGTTTTACATGCTAACAGAAAACGTAGCCTGTCTGACAGGACAGACCCCGCCGGTGGCCAGGTTGGACATGGGTGATCATGCGTGCAGACTGTTTTCCACGGAAAGCTACACACCAGCACTGACCAAGCAGCCCGCGTGCTGCAGCAGGTGCTAACAGACGTCGCAGCTGTCTGACTGGCAAAAACACTGTGGGCTTGCTCTAACGGTCATTTGGGTCGGTGGAATGTGGGGAGTCTGACCTCTGCTTTCAGGAGACTGCTGCCCAGAGTCACAGGGCATCGCGGGGACCAGGCTGACCACCTGTCAGATTCTCTCCTTCCGCAGTACTTTAACCCTCCTGTTGTTTTTTCCCTCGGGTTTTTTAAAAAACAGCTCTACTGAAGTCTAATTTACATACCATGCATTTCACCCATCTAAAGTGTGCCGTGAGTTCAAGAACTCCACCAAGTGTGCAGCTGTCACCCTAACCAGACTCAGTTTTCATCACCCCACGCCCCGCCCCTTCCACCCCCAGCACCGACAACCATGATCCGCGCTCCTTCTGTCAGTTTGCCCCAGGACAGTTTGTACGGGCGAACCATACAGTGTGGTCTTTGGTGTCTGGCGTCGTGCACCAGCGTAAAGTGTGGGAGTGCCATCCGCGTGGGGCATGTGTTGCTGTTTCCTTTTTACTGAACTGCCTGGTTTGTTTTTCACTGGAGTGAAGGGTTCACCAGTGGTTCTGCACTGGGACCAGTGGTGGGACATCTGGGGGCATCTTGATGGTCACATGGGGGTGGGGCTGCTGCTGGCGTCTGGCACGTGGAGGCCAGCGATGCTGGAACACAGGGCCCCACGACAAACAACTACCTGTCTCAGAATGTCAGTGGTGCTGAAGCTGAGGATCCCAGGCTAGGCTTCTCGGAGTTTCCATTGCTGTCGAGGCCCCTGTTTAAGACCAACTGGCGCACAGTGGGACTCTTCCCTCCTGTCTGACTATGTATTACTGAACTGGGGTTCTGTTTGTCTGATTTCTGTGTGTGTAAAATATGAATTCATTTGTGAAACTGATAATCTTTTTTTACCATTTGGGAAAGTTTTGGAATCTCGCAAAATAGTATTCAGTAGGTTGCACTGTCCACCAAAGAGAAAGGTGAGGAAAAAGAGTATACAGTTCTTATCCCCTGGTTGAGATCTCAGTATAGCCTGGTTCTGAAAACTTAGCGACAGAAAAGTAGCAGATGTCTTGGCTTGTGCCGCTTAAATTCCAGGAGCTGCAGGAGCCACTGGGCGGTTTATAATACAGGCATCTAATGAAGAACATTAAGTTCATTCAGCAACAAATTGCACCATAATTTTTGTGGAATGGGGTCCAATATTATGTACTCTGGTTATATTTTTCCAGTTCAGCTTCAAATTTTGAAGCTGCTGTTATTCTTAACATTAATGAAGCAATTTTATGTGGGACGGAGGTTAAAAGAAACAGATATAAAGAAAACAACACTAAAGAAGTTCTTCTCACCAGCATAAAACCCTTCTTGAGAACAGGAAGAGATCAGCCAGAGTTAAAACACTTTGTTTTTGAGGCCAGGGATTCCCTGACTGCTGGACTTTCCTCCAGGGAGGTTGAGATGCCAAGAGGTGGAATGCTGTCTCCTGGTTCTTTTAAGCTTTGTGTGATGATGAATAAGAAACAAGGTTTTCTGAAGCTGATAACGTTAAGAGGAGACTGAACTGCCATGAGCTGGTGAACCATCCTTGGCAGAGGGTACCTTTGGGAATCTGACAAATAAACAGTGTGTTTCAACTGCCTGGGTGACTTCTCCTCACCCTGACAGCTCTTGTGTTCCAGTGGGCAGCTCCAGCCCAGCCCCCAGAGAGGGAGCGGCCAGAGGGGAGTGCGGACTGTGTGTAGGCTGGGAGCAGGCAGAACGGGGTCTCCCACAGTCTGACGTCCGGCGTCACCCGAGTCTCCTCAGCACCTCCTGCCAAAACTGATGGTAAACCACATCAGAAATACAGGGTAGAAGTAAACTGGGCAAGATATATACCCACACCTGTGCGGGTGCACACATGCAACACACATACATGACATGCACACCCGTACACGTAGGCGCCTGCACGTACAGTACATGCACACGCTACACACATGCCCCCCCACAGCACAGGCATTCACGCACACACGCACGTTCCTCAGAATCACGGTGAGCACTTTGCAGACATTTATTCATCACTGCCAGACAGTTATTTTGTGTCTGTGTTACAGGTGAGAACACTTAGGCTCAGAGAGGTCAAGTAATTTGATCAGGGCCATGCAGCTGGTGAGTAGTAGCAATTAGGAGGTTTTCTCTAAATCCAAATTCCAAAGAGAGAAGCAGTGCAAGAGAAAATCTCGCCTTTAGAAAGCTGTCACTCCAACATAAAAAGACCAGTGGTGTGGGAGTGAGGGAGATGCCTAGGCAGAGCTGAGGCGGTGGAAACACGCGTATACCATTATAATGTGGAAACATCTGTCGACACCCACAGAGAGCACAGCAGCAAGGGTGACCTTGACGTGAATGCTGGGTGATGGCGATCGGCGTGCGGCGGGTTTGTGGACAGAGACGTGTACCAGGTATTGGCGGCACTGGGTGTGTGCTGAGGGGGCGTGGCAGGCGCACATGGGAAATCTCTGTGCCTGTCGGGAACCTAAAACTACTCTGAAAAAAGAAAGTCTGTAAAAATAAAAAGACGTAGCCCCACACTCAGTGTTCCAGCTCAGCTGTTTCAATACCGCTTACAGAAGATTCAACTTGGTCGATCAACTGCCTGAATTAGAAGCTCAGGAATGTGCTAACCCTTTGTCTGTCTCTCTCTCTTAACATAAAAGTAGCTTTTTTCTAAAGATAAAAGTGACATATGCTAACTACTGAAATAGTCCATATGTATATGAAATATTTTTAAAAGTAAGAATTATCTTCACCTCTTCATCTAGAGATAAGCAACCTTAATGTCTCCTGAATACTCCTTTTGCTGTGTCTCTAGGCAGATTGGATAGATGGATGGTAGGTAGGTGGTAGGTGGGTGGTAGGTAGGTGGTAGGTAGGTGGTTGGTAGGTAGGTGATAGGTAGATGGTAGTATTACCGAGTCCAAACTCATTCTACTTGCCACACAACAGGCCAACAAATTGGAAGACGAGGTGTTGGGACAAGGAATAGCGACTTTGTTCGGAAAGCTGGCAGACCGAGAGGATGGCAGACTAATGTCTTAGAGACCCATCCTCCTCGGGTCAGAATACAGGCTCCTTTTATACAAAAAAAATAAAATAAAAAGGAGGGGGAGGGGGTGTGGTTGGTTGTTGCAAACTTCTTGCTGCAGGAATTCTTTGTCCTTGCAGTTGTCCATGTGGGCCAGGTCATGGTGCTCCTGCAAAACCTCCAACAAAACAAATGTTTTTCTCTGTTCTGCAACTTGCTATCTTTACATGAGTGCAGAGCCAGCAAGACTAAGCCTAGAAAACAGGGCACAGGGTTAAAGCCAAAGGAACAGATCTAATATAGAGTCAGATTTGGTCTTTTCTGTTACAGTAGGTAGGTGGGAGGTAGGCGGTAGGTAGGCGGTGGATAGAGAGGCTCGGTAGAGGTATATGCACGGTGCTGTGGTATAGACGCTGTCATGGAGCAGGTGTTTTACTCACATGTGGGTTGACGTTCTGTATCAATACATCGAATTCTACACCATCATCACAAAGGCCACCCTGATTCATGACTATGATCTATTTGACCTATATGCCCTTTTCCCCCCAAGTCCTCTTGTCAGGGGAGGGCAGGGCAAAGAGACCTCAAAAGCCTGACATTGGGGTGAAAGATGTCTTTGAGAAAGGAATCAACTGACACTGTCGACGTGGAGCAACCCTTCAGGAAGCCAAGACCTTTTACTATCTGATCACCTGAAACTCTAGAGCTTTCCTCAGCTCAAGGTCTTTAAGCCCAGCTGGGTCTGACAGAGCCTGGATTTGACACCAGAACTCGTACAGTGCGTGCAGGTGACCTGAGCCCACACTGTCTCAGGAGAGTCCCCCTGTTCTGCATGGAAGCGCCCTCCTCACCTGGAGGCCCTGCCACGTCCTGAGCGGCTCCCTGATCCTGGATACACCCTGGCATCTAGTGTTTGATCGGATTGCTTCCATCAGTGCGTCCCTGCTCTGTGCTGAACGCGAGACGAGGAGACGGTCTCTCTTTGTGACGTTGAGAGCAGGGCCAAATTTTCAGTGCCGCTCCTTCACTCAGCAAGTGTTAACTGAACACCTACTGTGTGCTGGGCAGTCTTCTAGGTCCAGGGAGATACCAGCACACCAGACAGGCATGAACGCTGTTCGAGGGGTGAGAAAGACGACCCACAAACACCTCGTGCTCACATTTCTGCAAGCCTGAGTGAGATTTTCTCCTAAAAATGATTTTCCAGAAGTGCCGTCATGGCTCAAAGGGGCTCCTTCTCATTCTTAGGTCTTCTCTGGAGACCTTTTATTTTGTAAATAAGACGATTTCAATTACTATTATGTTTGAATGACATCAGTGAGCCACCCCACACTTGGAAGACTCTGGCCTCCATGTTCAAACACCACCTCCTCTAATGAAGAGCTCGGAACTCTGCCCAGAGCTTCCCAGCCCTCACCCTGCTGCTCTCAGGGAGAAGAGGAGCTGAGGGCAGACCTGTTCCTCATTCACTCCGTCAGGGAGCGTGGAGGGTGGCACCACCACATCGTCCGCGTCACCTAGGTCAGGGGCTCTGCTTGCTCCCCCCCTCAGACTCTGGAAATTTGCTCGGTCAGTTAGAAACATGCATCCAAGGGGGAGGGTACAGCACAGGGGTAGAGCGTGTGCTCAGCACACACAAGGTCCTGGGCTCTGTCCCCCGGACCTGCATCAAAACAAGCAGATAAACCTATAGTTATCCCCCCCACGAAATAACCGAAAAAGCGGAAAATCCATTTCTTAAGAAAAAAGAAGGAAAGACAGAGAGAGAGAGAGAGAAAGGAAGGAAGGGAGGGAGGGAGGGAGGAAGGAAGGGAGGAAGGAGTGTCCAGGACCCACCCTGGAGGTGGCCTTGACCCGTCTCCGCGCTGCGCTGGGTCTGAAGCAGAAAGGCCCCGCCAGCCCGGCCCTGTCCTGGGCTGTGCAGGCCGCGGGTCCTGACCCCAGGGCCGCCTCCGACCTGCCCTGCGGGCAGGGCCCCACCGCAGCTTCAGGAAGGAGCCGTCAGGGCTGCTGAGTAGCGCTCTGCACCCTGAGCCGTGGATGTTAGCCACCGGCGCTCCGGGCTCTCCTCGGGCTTTTTAAACAAGATGCAAGACATACAGGGTGCTGGCTCCCACAACGAGAACTGGTATTTCGTATTTTGTAATGCTTATTTTTCCTATAAAAGAGATAAAACATTACAAATGTAATTTCTAGAATCCTTTAAAAACAAGCAAAACATATCATTTACTGTTTACAGATGCACGTACAAGGGCTACAAACAGGTAAGGAGTGCCTCTGGGCGGGCCTGGAGGGACCGCTAAGCGGACGCGTCCTCTCCTGCCCCCGAAGACAGCAAGATTCACCTGGAATCCACAGGGTCTTCTGGAAGGTCCATGTGGTCCTCATTAGAGGCTTTCAGCTCCCTGGGGAGGCTGTGCGGCCTGTGGGCAACAGGATGTAGGGGAACATTTGGCAGAGCCTGGTGGCCACCAACATGCCCTTCCTGAGTCTCCTGGGTGCTTCCCTCCCCGGACGACTTGCTGACCCTCAGGCCACATGCCCTGTGCCCTCCTTGCTTCTGCGCAGCTGTCCACTCAGGCTGGCCCGCCCCGGCTCATTTAGGGTGGGGGGGTGCTGTCTGGGAGGACTCCTCGCCCCTCCCTGAGTCCTTTCCTGGATACGTCCCTGTTGCACCCACAGAACTCTGTCTTGCAGAAGCCGCTCCTCATTTCCCTCATCACACGGTACCATGCAGTGCGTGTGCACGCGCTGCGTGCACGTGCATGTGTGAGAGCTCGTGAAGCCAGGGTGATGTCTTCCTCAGCTCAGGACTCCAGCTTCCTACACTCTGTCCGGCACGGGCTATTGAACAGATCATTCATGCGGAGTGTGGGGTTTGGGAGAGTCTCCGGACTGTGTGCTCCGGACTTCTCTATAACCACAGGGATAGGTCTGTAGCTGGCACCTGGGGTGAAGCACACTTCTGACGTGGGGTCAGGGAGGGTGGGCACTTGCTGCGTTAGCTCGACTGGGCTGCTGCTCAAACAACTACCACAAATGGGGAGGCTAGCAGCAGGCCTGGACTTCTCACAGTTCTGGAGGCGGAAGTCCGGACCTCGGCCCCACAGACCTCGTATCTGTCTTCCCGCCACGTCCTCATGTGGAGGGAGGGGCGGGAGCTCTCTGGGGTCCCTTCTACAGGGACTCCAATCCCTGATCAGGATCCTCAGGACCTGATCACCTCCCAAAGCCCCACCTCCTACCCCCTCCCTTGGGGGTTACAGTCTCCACACGTGGACTTCGTGGGGACACGTTCAGTCTACAGCATCTACGTTTCAAATAGCCTCTTTGAGAGTCTCGAATGTAAGGGGCTGGCTTCTTGTGAGGTTAGCACTGCATGGTTTTACTCTGGAAAGGCCGCTGACAGCGCCTGTTCTCGGGAGGGGGGACGGCTCCTCTTTCTCACTACAGTTTTCATTCACATTCTGGGGGGGCCTTCTGTTTAACACCGGAAGTGGGAGGGGCCCTGGCAGTGCCCCATGGCAGTCACCATTAGGACCCTCCCGGCGATCGTGGAGCTGGACGAGCATGGGGCCACTGCCACTCCCTGGGCTAAGCGTGAGTTCAGCTCATTTTTAAAATTTTAGGTTAAAACACATAGAAATCCCAGTCCTGGTCACACATCTGGAGGGAACTTAATTGGAAAAGACCTGCACCCCGAAGTTCACAGCAGCTCCATGTACGACAGCCGAGACGCGGAAACAGCCTCGATGTCCATTGACAGGCGACCGGATAAAGGTGTTGCGGTGCATTTATGCAACGGAGTGCTGCTCGGCCGTAAAACATAATAAAATAATGCCATTTGCAGCAACATGGATGGACCTGGAGATCATCACTCTAAGTGAAGTAAGACAGAAAGAGAAAGAAAAGTGCCACATGGTATCACTCATATGTGGAATCTTAAAAAAAGAAAAGAAACGAAAAGGACACTAATGAGCTCATCTACAAAACAGAAACAGACAGACACAGTAAACAATTTATGGTTACCAGGGGAGAAAGGGTGGGAAGGGACATACTTAAGGGTTTGAGACTTGCAAAGGCTGACCACTATGTATAAAACTAGATAAAAAACAAGTTTCTTCCGTACAGCACAAGGAACTACATTCAATATCTTGTAATAACCTTTAATGGAAAAGTATATGAAAATGAATATATGTATGTACATGCATGACCGGGACACTGTGCTGCACACCAGAAACGGGCACACTGTAACTGACCGCACTGCAATTAAAATAGATAAATAAATAAATAAAAATAAAACACATGGAGACAGACGTTCTGATGTGTCTGCTGCTGGACCCGTGGTTACCCCAGCCGCAGCAGGTGTTAGGTACCCAGACACTGAAGGCTTATTGAAGGAGAAAAAGGATTTGGACCACAATCATCTTCATGAGTCCAAGGCTGACGTGACGGCAGGTGACAGACGTCTGGGGGAGCTGAGCCTCATGGTCTGTCTTCTCGAGACCCAGCTCCCACTGGTCTGGGGGGGAGTCAGACAGCTCCCCAGACTCCCACACGTGCCCCCCCCCGAGTCTAGACAACTTCCCCGTAAACTGAGAGGGGGTTACAGAGTGTCTAGTATCCAGTTTGGGGGCCTTCAGATATGCAGAGTTCTCTAAGAAAGAGTAGTGGTTACGTTCTCCTGAATAAGGCTCAAGGTACGGAAGCAGCGATGGTGACAGCGGCAGGGACAGCAGCAGGGAGTGTGCCCCCCGAGTGCCCACCACTGACGTAGACGTAACCTCATCTCATCTGAAAAGCAGCCTGGGTAAAGCCTCCATGCTCCAGCTGCTCTTAGACCCGAGTCTGAGCTCCCCGACGTGCCCGACAACTCCATCCGCAGCATCTGGCCACCTGGCCCTGCTCCCCACACGTGCGTCCTGGGGCCCCCTACCAGCCCTGCACTTGTCCTGGGGAACAGCTGCCTCCCCGCCCCAGGCAAGGGTTCCCGTGCTGTAATTGCTCAGTCAGCCCTTGACGGCCTCTGTCTTGGAGCCAGAGGAAGGATGTTCTCAGGAAGCACAGGAGTCAAGGGGCTCAGACGTCCACCGGCTGCAGCCACAGGGGCCAAAGCGGGAGTGAGCTCAGCACAGGATAAGTGGTGGCGTTGGACCCGAATGCGCAGGATGACTTGAACGTGCAGGTCCGCGCTGGTGGAGAAGTGAAAGCCCACTGTGAGGAGGGCGTCCTCTGGCTCAGGGCCCCGCGCACGGCCCGTCCAGCGCGGAGCGTGCCTGGTGCGCGCTCAGTCACCGGGGGCGCAGGGAGGCGCTGCGTCGGCACCCCGGACCCGGCGCAGGATGAAGCTGGGGGTGAGAGACTGCCTCGGGCCAGCCTGGGATGTGAACTCGGGGGCCTGTCTTTAACTGCTTTTTCTGCCACTGCCCTCAAAGGCGAGGCCGAAGGCCCTCCCCGCTTCCAAGCCGTCATCTCCCCAAGTGTGCCGGGACCCAGGATGGACACAGCACGGCGTGTGAGTCCCTGAAAGCTCCGCTCCTCGCTGGGACACCAGGGCCACGGCTGCAGTGCGTTCACCACATGCTGCGCATCCCTGGGTCCGCCTGGGCTCCCGGGGCAGCTGCAGCCGACGGGGACAATTTTGGCCTCACTTACACCTCTGAATGTTAGGGGATCTCGAAAGGATAAAGATAACGGAATGTGTCAGACGAATTCGACAGCAAGGTTCAGCAGCAGGACCCACGCTGCCTGCCCCACCCCTCAGAGTCAGCCCTGCCCCACGTGCTCTCAGGCCGATCACCCGCCCTGCCCCGAGCAGCTCACCTCCTGCCTCTCGCTGCTGGTGTACACGTTTGGCACGTGTGTGCAGGAGAGACTCCTCAGGATCCGCGTCAGTTTGCACCTTGGAGACCAGGCTTACTGACGTCCTGCGATACGTGCGTCCCTGTGTCCTGGCTGCCAGAGTGCACTCGGTTCTGTGGAGTGATGTACAGGCTCCTGGATTCTGTCTCCTTCAGAGCTATTTATAGAAAGATGAGGACAGAGACATGATTCCTGGTTTCAGGCTCCCCAGGCTGGCAGAAGCTGGAATTGCTTCAAAGCCCTGATTGCTTCTGTGGCCAACTTGCCAGCACCGTCTCCTGAGTGATGAGCGCCCCAAAGCAAAGGGAGACAACCTCTGCTCCTCTGAGCTGAGCAGGCGCCGAGGGGCCGGACACGAGGCCTTGCTCTCCTGGGGCAGCGTCTCCACCAGGAGGTGGTGGTTGGGGTGCAACTGTGGTGGTGAAACAGAGACTGGAAAACCAGGCAAGGTCAGGCACGGCCTGATCCACAGCCTGTTCTGAGTAACGCGCCGGCATGGCGGGCCCCGGCTGTGGGCACGCGGCTCATCCCAGGTGGGAGCGAGGGGGCTGCCAGACAAGCCTGAGGCTGGTGGGGCCAGAAGACAGGGGAGGGTTTGAGAAAGAGAGGCATGTGGCACAGACACCGGCCCGAAGGAGCTCCCAGCGGCCAAAGCTGGACTGATGCGAGCGTCCCGGTGGGCAGAGCCTCTAACCCAGAAACGAGAGGCGCTGCGCTCTAAACCCCAAGACGACACGAATGCCCGTGTGTCCACAGTGACGCGAACTAGCAAAGAAGCAGGCGAACCAACGGCAGCGAAGGATTTAAGTTAACAAGCGTGGAAGAAACAAGGAAAACACCGAGTCATCAAAAGGCAAACACTACAGCAAGAGCCGTCGCAGGGCAGACCCACTGGTGACACAAAAATCACTGTGCTCAGCTTCGAGGAAAAACAGGATATTTCCATAGTCTCTCACCTTGTCTCCCCCAAGAGGTTGACCAGTTAGGAAGAGAGAAACAGTGTTAATTACAGTCTTCACAGCTGAGGAAGCCCGCAGCCCTGGGGACGAAGGAAGGAAGGAAACCGTGGGCCCCACACACCCTGCTGGACGCTCGGAGGACAAGTGCCATTTCCTGGGACTCCTGCCAGAAGCGCATCACCTCCACTGATCAACACCGAGAAACAGCAGACAAGGCCGCATTCTGAAACTTTCCACAAGGTGACCGCCAGAAGCCTTGGGTGTCAAGGGCATGAAAGACAAGAAAGGACTGAGCGCCACCGCCCAAAAATTCCAGCAGCTGCTCTCCTGAAAACAGAGGCCAGGCCTGAGTCAGGGAGCTGCTCTTCAGCTGGAGCCGGGCGTCGCCGGGGGAGCCGGAGATCCCCGCAGATCCTGCCCCGTTTCTCCACAGAGATGAGACCGAGGATGAGGGAAAAGCGTCTGAACTCGGCCAACGGAGATGGGCAGTTAGGGCAGTGCAAACTCAAATTCTTTGTTTAAAAAAATTCTATCTCAATTTGAAAAATTGTCCGAATTCTCTCCTTCACGTTGCCTGCCAGATAGCTTACCTCATGCAGAGCACTAAGGCCTGGGAAAATGATAAAGAACTGGAAACGTGACCCTCATTGCTGGGACTCAGAGGGAAATAAGGTCACAAGAGAAATACACAAGTCGAAGTTGAAACCCGTGCCCACGATCAGTAACCACACACTTCCCTCAACAACAGTGCTTGGTGCAAGTCTAACCTTTGCCTCTAAATGGTGATGGTTTGAGGAGAGCTGTCCACTTACCCACGCCTCCTCTCACAGCCTAGTGGAGTGCCTTGTGTATTGCAAAAGGTACTAAAAAATATTTGTTACATGAATAACCTGTCTTACAGTTTTTAAGAATGCCTGTAATGAA